TCCAGTGGCTTAGTGTGGAACGTTTAGATCACGTCGCTTGCAGCACATCTTATTTATCTCGATGGAACTGATTTGGACAAATCAGCCAGAATTTCCACCTCGATAGTCTCGAGTCGAGACAGACAGAATGAAAAAAGAGACGGGTACTCGATATCTACACAGCGTAGACTACGGTAGTGAGTGTAGACTACACCAATTCATCCCATCAAAGGGGACAGCCAGCTTTTCCAGAAGCGAGTTGAATATAATCATAATATTATAATGAATGTCTCTCGCAGTTCGAATACTTCCAATATAAGCCGTTCTCCCGGGAGCATATCTCCTGTGCTGCACAGGCTGTGCATTACAGTATCAGCGAGAAACGAACGAATATTCTCAAATTTCCCGATCAGTCAAAACGAAACATGTCTGCAGGTTATTAATATAAATGCTGAACCGAGATGGTCGGAATAGGTATGCTGTCTCGAACTCGAGTCGAGATTCTCGACCATGATATTGCCAACCTTGCAGTCCCGATCTCGTCGTGAAACTACTCGAAATCGAGAATCTCGCACCCTCCGGGAGGGTCCCTCCCGAGTCTCACTTCCAACACATGCGTCGAGAAAATAGCTCCCAGCCAACGATACTCAATGCAACATCACAGAAAGTGCGCGACAACAATGTTAACATGACCGCTATGATAATCATGCAATGTGGTTATATCCATGATATGAAAACCTAACTATCGATTCATCGTCATGTTGATATAATCGCGGTAGTTGAAGTGGCCGTCAATGTGATCGAGATTCGAGCACAGATCCTTAGCCTCTATCTCACTCAGCCGACCTTCACCATAACTCTATCAATATGAAGTGAATCCTACCTGGACCCTCGAAGAATCAACTCACAGTTAAAGCACGGTGCAGGTCATTGATGGAGATAGTTCCGTCAGCGGCATCAGTAGCAGCGAGTGCTTTGAAGGCGCTCTCAACTTCCTCGGGTGGATAATCGTCGTTGGTCCTTCGAGACATCATCTTCGAGGGATATGCAAGTCTCGATAACATTGAGCCGTGCGGGAAATTATGCACAACGTCAACCACATATGTTGCCA